AGAAGTGAGAAAGAAAGAGATGAAGAGACTGTGAGAGGAGAGGTCCAAATTCGTCCGAACGAAAGACAGCCGAGGATGACGCTTTACTAAGACGGGCAAAGATCCAGAGACAGGAATGCAGGCCGAGTCGATGGAGAAGGAGGGACAAAGCGATGATGAGAGGAACGAAGTAAGAGGACGACGAGAGCCGAAAATGGAAAAAGAACGGAGCACGTCTGCGAAAGAAAGATAGAAGATTATGGTGGAGGGGAGGGGGGATTGGCGAAAGCGAGAAGAAAGATTCAAATGTTATACAAGATAGAAAGAGACATTCGTGGTTGAACTGGTGAACAGTTGGAGAGGAGGGAGAAGAAAAGTGGATAGAGTGGGAGCGAGGTAAGGCAGGAACGCGCAGCTGGGAAGGTGAGCGTTGGGGAGATGGTTGGAGGAGAAGAAGGGGGTACATTGGAGAAGGAGAGAGACAAGCAATATGTATATGTACAAGAGAGCGAGAGAGAGGGGGGGGGGAAGAGAAAGATAGACAAAGAAGGAACACGTACGAGAAGGGGGCACCGGCTGGCTTGGCTCTCTCGGGGTAAAGCGAAGCCAACAAACTCACGTCAGTCCAAAGCCGGAGGGACGTCTGTCCTCCTCGTGCGTTCTCCATATTCCGTTTATTCTGCCACGACACATCCTCTTTCCTCCCGCCAAGAACCGTGAACACATCCACGGGGCCCCCCCGGATCCCAATCTGGTGAACGCGCGGGAGGGGGTGCGAGTCCACAGTTTCGCTGTTTCGCGACGCGACGTTGAAGGTCGAGGAAAACGCTGAGGAAGACTGAAACGACTCGTCTCCAGAGCGGGATTCCAGCGAATTGTCGCGTTGTAACCAAGACGGATTTCGCGGAACCACCGATCGGCTGTTATCGGTAACGGTTGCACGAGAGTTATCGAGCCGATTGTCGCGTCGGGTCGGGGTTGGAGCGGTACATGTTGAGCGGGGCGTGAATCAGGCGTAATTAAGGCGGTTAACGGAGTCTGGAATATCTCTCCGACGAAGCGGTGCGGTGGGCCAAAACCGGTACGAGCGTTCTCCATGCGATATAGTGCGCGCCGCCGCCGTATCGTCGTCGTCGCCGCCGCCGCCGCCGCCGCCGCCAACTCCTCCCTCGTCGCGTACAGCCGACTACAGCCTTCGGAAGGTGCATACACCTCCTCCGTTGAGTTGCCGGTCGCAGCTCCGTTGCGGCGTCGTCGTCCGTGCATCCACGCCGAGCGTCGCGTCGCGTTGCGTGACTGTATACGCGCTATACGCGCGTGGCGCGCTCGGGCACCAACCATATAACCAGTGTGTCTGTGTCGGTGTCGGTGTCGGTGTCGGTGTATTCTCTTTCTCTCTTTCACTCTTTCTTCCTGTGTTTCTCAGTGCGCACTGCGCGCACAGGCACAGGGTATACAGGTGGAATGTGCCACCGTCCGCGCGGCACACGGATGTACACTGACGCGTAAAGCCAGTGAGGGGCGCCGGGCGAGATAAGGTCGAGCCTTATGCGAGGTGTAAAGTGATCCACCAAGAGGACTCTCGCAAGGGAAAGGGGACGTGCGGGGAGGAAACTCCGGGAAGAGTCTCAGTATGGAGGTGATATATAAATTTTGTAAATAATAAATGTGAATGTCTTTGAATGGAAAACCAAAGAATCTGGATCGGTAAGGATTTTACAAAAAGAAATCAAAGGTCCAGAAAATTCTAAGAGACAAGGTATTCGAATCGGCAGACTTGCGTAGGCATATAAGGATCGACGTGGGAACAAGCATGAGGACACTTCATTGTCGGAATGTTTAAGCATCGAGGAAAGGAATAGATGGAAGAAAGTTAGTAGAAAAGAAGACACAAAAGTACACGAAGAATTTCGCTCTTCGCAAAGAGATAGACGTAAATATTTAATGACATTGTGATCGGTGAGATATGAAGCGACGGGTAAGAGGAAGTGGAAGATCGTGTACGGAATGTAGAAGCGTTTCACGAAGGTCGGACCAAGACTAGAACATTCATAAGATTCCACAGGCCTCGCCTCCTTTTATTCAATCTCAATTAAATAAAAGAAACCGTCTAAAAGATCAAGAAGAAATTAAATAAAAAAAGATACTAAAATCAAACTAATATCAGAAAATATTAGAGGAAATATAACAAATATATTGTATGAAAGAAGGATAGAAAAATATCATCAAAACAAGATAAAGATCATTTGGAAAAGCACAGACAGGAAGGAAAGACGAATGTTTAGTGTTGAGTTACGAGGGGGATTGTAAGAAAAGAACGGTCGAAGAATTTTGAAGAAAACCGGAAGGTTTCGGCGCTGCGAGGAGCGCGCATTAAGATTCTTCGTCCGTATGCAGCTTCATCGCGAGTCGCGCGAGCGTCCATGAGGCTTGAGCGAAGGACGAGCCGTTGAGAGGTCCACGCCATGAGAATCCTCAAAACGCTACACTGGTAGGTTCCACTCTAGCGGATATACGACATAACGCGCGTCTTCGCAATTATTCGCGTCGCGCATTCCGCGCGTGATTGAGAAACTCGCCGCGAGCGATTTAATAAAGATCGAAGCCCCGGGCCAGATACAACACACGAACGAAAAAGGCATTTTACATCTGCGACTTTTCATTCGCGAGAATTCGCCATTCTCATCGTAGTTGAAATAAAAAGCAAACGTAAACAAATGTTTTCTAAATTCCTCTCTTTTTTCCCTTTCCCTATTTCTTTCTTTTCTTCTCTTCTATCGCAATGTGTCACGAAAAGCTGATAAAAAACACTAAAGTCACGTTCGTGTCATGGGAGATGACAATTGGAAAAGGAATTTTTATTGTTTGAGGCCTTTCATCCCATGACTCGTTCACTAGAATTTAAGAAAATATCTTTTTATTTTTACATCTTTTACGGTATAAATAATATGAATAGTTTGGAATTGTATGGGCGATTTCTTTTGTTGCTATTGTACGCACCTGACGTAAATATATTGACAGAGATTTATGACAGAAAAATGAAAATTGAAAATTGAAAATATCAAATTTTTGAATGGCAAAGAATTATTTTGGGATATATATTGTAAAAATAAAGTTTTCTAATTTACAAATGATAATTCTCATATTATCGTCTCCATTGAAATCAATTTTGCTTTAAAATACAGCGTATGTGTATCTGAATGCTTGAAAAAAAAAAAAACGACTTTAATGAGAGAAAATCCGCCTTTTCATTTCGTGAACCGAATCTCTATAGTACACTTGTACAAAACACCTTGCAGATACACACATTTTCTAACATGTGCTGCACACGTTTCAGTGTTGATGTATAATTTAGGTACGCGATGACACAATTTCCACACGTTCGATACACTTCCGGATCCACCATGCATGAAATATCGGCAGGTAATAAATTCCGACAAAAACTCATCAATACCTTCCGGTTCGAGCACTGCCAAACTATCGCCTGATCCATCATAAATCTTCTCCGCGAATTGTCGTTCCATTATTCCGAACCAGTTCGTGCATAACTGAAAACAGTTTTCACGTACATATGCCTGGAATGTTGTAACTTTATATACACCTATACAGTTAGCGCGGTACAATTAGCGCACAACAAGTCGTATTATTCGAAGGAATAATCGCGACGTGGTACGAGCATTTTGTCGCGCGAAACGTGCACAGTCGTGCATAAGCGACTCGTAGAACATTATCCGACTGTTACAATTTCACGAAGATCACTTCCGCTTGATATCGCAATCGTTATCCTTACGTGTTGTAAGTTGCAGGATACGCCTCGTATGCAATTACAGAGCGTAGCATTTAATTATCTACGAAGAAGTGTACATAAAAATACGCGTTAATAGCAAGCTGCCGTCACACTTGCGTGCTTAATTTCAAGATGACTTAAACATTTTCGTCAAGACAGGTGAATTATGCCGCATAGCGCGAAGCGAAAAATAAATTTGCATTTGCAGCTCTTAATTAAAGATGTCTGTTTGAAGGGAAGGAGAAGAGGTATAGAGAGAGAGAGAGAGATCTGGGTTTCGTGCATAGGTATTCCATAGGGAATGAACTCTAACACGATGTAGATATAATGTATTAAGTCTCGATGGGCTATAGCTACTTGATAATTTAATAGCAACCCACTTGTTATCAAGTGCCAATTATTGCTCCGTTACACTCGGAAGATCTCGCAGTAATAACTGTGCGTTATTACCACGGTTAGGAAACATAAATACCAATGTATGTGATTGCCTATTGGATGTCAATAATTTGCGCACAGATACAAAGACGCATTTAAATCCCTTTAGAAGTCTTGCATTTTATTTTCGGCACTGCTTAAAATTTGAAAATATACAATTATGTCTAAATTTTTCTCGTTTTAAAATTGTATTTTGCGACCGTAAAACCGTATTACCGACAACTACAATTGTATATACAAGTAATGTAATGCTCTGCGACTGATGACTAGTTATCTCAATTTTTTTCTTAGAAACAGATGACGATGCATCCGATTCTAAAGCTTAAGATTTCATCGCGTCATGTGTATAACACAATCTCTTTCTTCTCTTTCTTCTCATCGTTACATAGTTAGTTCCTTTGTTCAAGAAAATAAGTACAAAAGATACGTAAAGTATTTGAGAAATGAAACTTTGAATGCGCATAAAATGCAGTGCCTTTGAATAAAATTTGGGATAAACGCGCGTAGACGTGAGTTAAATGGTATATTCGTGGCAAGTTCTGTGGAATCACGCTAGGGAATATCTGTGCTCGACTCTGAGAACATCAAACGCGAATTCTCACGTGGAATTCGAAACAAGGGGAGATCACGTGTTTCCGTTCCTGACTGCAGCCCTGCTTACCTGCCCGCCTCCACAGGTATCGTTAAGCCAGGGACGGATATACTGAATTCTATATTACGAGTGGTCTGCATGAAGCAGCGGTTATCTTCACTGGGCTATTCACGGAGTTGCTTTTTTTATTCTCGTTATATACATAAGATATATTTTGCAATTTAAATAAAATACTGGTGTAAGTGGAAGATTATTTATATTTTGATTGACACATTTTTGATAATGAAGAACAGATCGTTTTTCAGTGAAATCGAATTTTTCGGTACAACAATGTAATAAGAGTATATATAAATAATGGATTTAACTGACAATGAGCTTATAAGTTAGAATAAAAATCCAATTTAATTTACTTTGCGCGCTGTGGCTCAAAACTTTATCAGCTTTAATCTGGCTGTTAACTGCAAGCCGTAATATCGAATGTATCCGTGAAACGAGCTTTATTCTTTTCATAAACGAATTTATTTATATAACGAAGGATTTATACCTTTTCAACTTGCATTTTTTCTCTCATTACATTTACATTTTTTCAAACATTTATCATGAACACAAAGATAAAATAAATTATTCCTTTCCTTCTTTGTATTTAGGCGTATATGTAAATAGAACCTTCGTGAACCAAGAGACACGCTGGTGTTTTTCCTGCGTCAAAACTCTTCCGTTGTTTCGTATCTCGTACAAAACTTTTATGCGAAAATGCAAAATACTTGGTAGGAATTGAAGTCACGCAAAGAATCGTAACGTATTCGTCCCGGTGTGACTTGCATTACATAATCGAGCGCGGATTTCGCACGCGATTACGCGAATAATTGTTCGGGCCTTGAGCACGCCCCGATCTCTTTTCGTTAAACATGGGTAGTTACGCGCGCTGTAATTTAGCAACTTGATTTCCGCGGTAAACGACGGCGACGCCGCCCGACGAGCGGCCGTAATTGTCGATAAGCGTCGTTACAAAAATAAATTGGATCTCTATTGGGCGTGGAAATCAATATTTCTGGCTTTTCGCGACCTTAAAGGTTGCGACGTTTAACTATCGACTCCATCGCGTTTCACATGGAGTCAATGCGGTAAAAGTGACGAATTCCTAATATCGATATTGCAATTCATTGCAACACGCGTGAGCAAAATGCTGTTCGTCTGAATCTCGGCGAATCATAATCGATGACACTATTCTCCTGTATGCCATTATTAGGCGACTCGTAACGATCGTTTCGTGCATTCGCGCGATCTTGCTGCGTAATGACGTTACTGACGACATGACATTGAAAAGTAGAGCGCGTCGGTGAGAAAACGATGACATGATAAAAATGCAGACATGAATGGGGAAATTAATTGAAAAAGCAAGAATAACTGTTTGCAGGAGTCACGATTTGTATAAGGACTTCGATACCATCGTCACAAGCGTGATTAGACTTGCATTCCTTTCACGAGTATCCGTTTTGTTAGGACACGTGATACTTTCACTCGTATATCTTGCACGTCGCAAATTTTTCGGCCGTCACTGTTTTTTCGGCAATCACTGTAAATTAGCATTGTCATAAGTGCGAGGAGACTCGCTTCGTGAGAAACGATAAATTCTCGAATTCAATTTCTGCATTATTTTACGTGAGAAATAAAGGACAAGGGAAATTCTTTCGACCGAAAAATCTGTCGCAAAGAATCTTCTTATGTAATGTTGTAAATAGTTAAATAGAAATTAAAAATTTAATTCGGTAACTTGGAAAAAAAAGAGGCGAAAAAAACCTTTTAATAAAATCTCCTTAGTGAGAATTCTGTCTTTGTTCCCGTTTTGAAAGTTCGAATAGATAGCGAAAAAGTACATCACATTTTATAAAGATTTAATTACGGGCTATATTATTATTTTCGATTGCATCATATAGATATTATCGATATAATGCTGCTATACACCTTTTATGAGTCAATTTAGCTTTTAGTTAATTCACGGATGAAAGCCCACGCTGCAAGTTAGATTATTATCGTTATCATCAATTTACCTTATAGCCGATCATCTCAAATTACTATAAATGCAGTACAACATTTTCATCGCTTTTGATCGGTTCGCTCGATTCGCATCGTGCGTAGCACGGGACGCACTTAATGCGCGCGAAAACTGCACCTGAGCGATCTTCGTGCCAATTGTTATTATTATGAATAAAGCAAAAGAACCCGTGTTCCTGGTAAGATTATCGATCCCTCGAGCCGAAGAATGCACTCAGCCTGAATTAAAGGACACTCGGACAACTTTCGGAAAGTTTTCTTGCAGCCTCGGTTCGAAATTGGCCTGACCTCGCTGTGTCCGTTTTCTTGAAAATTCTTATACCGGGAGGGATCTGTCCTTTAAAAGAGGCGATCCCTCCTGAAAGCCTCGACAGGTCGATGAGCTTAGATGCAGTTTCGCAGATGGTGATCACGCTGACCTGCTCACGTTTTCCATTACGGGCTCCACCGCGCTCCACGTGGAACAGATGCACGCGGCGCAAACGCCGCAAATCACGCTCACACATTAACAATCGACCAACTATATTGGAAAGTACAATCCGTGGCGTTTCTTACAAGGAGAAAAAAATGTGACATTTCCTTGGGGAAATCCGTTCGGGCGTCGCAGAAATTAGGTCTCCGCTCTCCGCTTTATTTAATTCTCGCCGTAATTGTGTTATGAAACGGAAAAGGCGGAAGAATTGCGGAAAAGAAGAGATAATTTCTTTAAAATTCAGTGATTGAGATAAAAATTTCTTCTATAAACTTTGAAGCGTGTTGCCAAGTGGGTTTTTTTAGAGAAATCCGCACTGCCAAAGTCCCAAGTAAACATAAAATATAGTAAAAATAAATACATCTATTAGAATATATAAAACATAAAATATTTTATATAAATACAAATTCTATAACTGCTTTATCGTTATTTAATGAAAAATATGTTTTGAAATTACAAGCCAGTTGCCTGCAACGTTTTTCATATACTGTATCAAGTGATAAACATAAAGCTACAAAATAGGGAGAAATATTTTTATAAATACGAAAAACGCTGCGGTTGCACTTTTAATGTAGAGAGAGATCAGAAGAATTCTAAAGATCTCATTAAACGCATTGCATAAGATGCCACCGAAAATGCAGGACTTCTCATTTATATTCAAGTATATATTGAATGGTGGTATACCGTATTTCCTATCGCCTTTGTTCACGATTTCCATTGTCTCCTTCTTTATCGTTCGCTCTATGAACCTTCCACGCGTATTTGCGTAAGAACCAAACGAGTGTAATGGCGTTCTTGTGTTGAATGCTGCATGCTCGACAATGTAATCAGATCCGCGAAAAGGCCTATTGGTCCTTTATACATGGACGGTCTTTGTCGTATAAATCTAATTTCCGACATCTTGCAATATACTACAGAACAGAAACGCACACGCGTAAGTGGAAATTATTGCACTGGACGTTTAATAGTGCCATCAAGTAAAGAAAAAAATGCAGATTTTTTGATGAATTTGTATTTGACGTAGAGAGTTTCCGCGCGATAGGCCATCATTCCTTTTCGTAATATTTTAATATATTTGATATCAAATATTAGTATAAAGCGATATGTATAAAATTATAGCACATATCAAATTTATTTAAAAAATGATAATCATGTATAAGTTGTTTTTCCATTGCAGATATATTTTTAAATTTGTGCGCTCGTGTATATTCAATTTATCTATTTATTGAAAAAATTGAGTACTGATATTTTATTTAGTTTACATAAATAAATGTTGTTAATAAATCAAGAAGAGATTTTTTTATTTCTAGATATTTAAATATAATACAGAATACATGCACACACAACATAAGTTTAATCAGTAAAAAAATTTTATTTAATCGACTGATAACATAGTGCAAACAATTTAATAAAATTTAGATGCAATTTTGCAAACTGTAGCTTCGTGGGTAATATTATTTGGAATTTGCATTTTAATTACGATGGTGTTTTAAATATAATTCAGTTACATGTTTATTGTAGTAGATTTTTCAATTTGAATAAAAATTTAATTGTTAATTAATATGAAAGAAATTACGATTTAACATTCCTCATGATTTATTGAGGATTTTTATGCCACTCTCTTAAGCTACTTTAGTCGGAACAACTTTATAATGAAAAATAATCGCAAACTCTTTTCCTAACATGATAAACCGGCGACTGACAAGCCGTAATACATATATTTAGGATTTATCGTATCGAAAGTTTCTTCCCGGTCTGTTGCCATGTGCATGTCCCAAAGACTTTTCACACGATCGAACGACCAGGAGATTCTACATTCGTTTGAGACATCATGTAACATGTACTATCGGGATCATATGATATATAGCGACTGAATTTATTTCCACGTAAGCACCGTCACGTTCTACGAAATCTAAAAATATGGAAGGAAGGAATATTCCAAAGAAAGAAAGAAAAAGGAAAAGAAGGGGCATCATACTGAGATAAATGGCACTTTCTCTCTCAGCGAGAGATAAATTGCATTTTTTTTGACAATTTTTATAATTTTTCGCAAGTTTGTCTCAATGACTTTTTTAAGAAAACATTGATATTAACTATCTAATCGGAGTGCTACATTGAGAAAAATATCTGATTGGATTAATTGGAATTCTGGTTGAAAAATGGACGAGAATTAGAATTTTTTAGTTAAATTTACTAAAATTTTAGTTGAGATAACTGGAAAGATTCTGACTGATATTAGAATCTTTGATTCATTTATTTTCAACCAAATATTTTTCTCAGTATATCTATTTATTTTAACAAGAAAGAATAAAGTATTGTTATTAAAAGTAATATTTTATTATTATATGTTACTTCTCGTTATTACTATTATTTATAGTAAAGATACTAACCGATTATCACACAGAGCTACTTTATCGTTTCTCGTATATGTATTTTTTTTATTATAAATATTTTTTTATTATAAATATGATCTTTCTTAATGTGATGCGTTGTCAAAGATACCTCGTGTCAAACTTCAGTCAGTTTACACCTTAAAGATATCCAATTATCCGTTAATATATAATAATATTCGGATATACTATTTTATGTTCATAACAGCTAGCAATTTACCTCACCTAGATTGCGTGTAAATAATATACCAATAACTAGTTATCCTTCACTTAGTTTCCTTCATCTATTAAAAAATAGAGTTACAGTTATTCGACTTACTGTGTACTATTCTGTCGAACGTTTACCTCATTAAAGATCACACATTAAGAGTCTACCTATCAGAAGTTACATTTTCAATTATCTGGCCTATTTTAATAATATTTATATAACATTTATAATAATTATACTTAGATAAATATATAATTAAAATATGTATACATCTTCAAAGACACATTATCTTATCTTTTATTAAATATATAAATAATTTATATATCTGTTAGTCATAATATTAAAGTTGTCTTTTATTAAGCTTTGTTAATTATTTAGCTCAAGATACACTTTTATGGAGATTTTGTACTTTCACACTAATACAGTGCATTGAAAAATTTAAAAATGATTGAGGAATTAAAAAGTATACGTTAATATTCCGTTAACAGTAATATTAATGTATCTACTTTTTTATTTCAGGTCCCGAAGGCGTAGCGGTAGTGGCGTGACGGACATACACTCTCAGCAACAGCAGCAGCAATTGCAGTTGCAAGAGAACAACAACTCGCGCGAACAACAACTCGTGCGAACAACAAGCTCGCGCGACGCGAAGAAGCCGCAGGAGGGACTGGGGCCCGATGAGATGTGGGCCCCTGGCGCCCTGGGCCATCATCGGGAGCTACCTGTTGATGTGCCCGACACCCTTCTACAGAAGGCCTATCCCAACAAGGTAAAAAACTGCTCTTCCGATTATAGGAACGGGCTACAGCATCGTCCCCGTAGCGCTAGCGACCTCGACCTCTCCCTAAACCTTAAAAACGAAACCCTTAAGACGCGCACCATCGCGGACGGACGCGCTAGACTCGTATCGAACGATCACACGCACGACGTCACCGACGCAGCCAGGACAATTAACGTCCACAACGGTCTTCAGCCGTCTATGCTGAAGATCGAGCTGAATATCGAGGACGAGGAGGAGAAAGTGAAAGCCACCAAGAAGAATCTGGGGTTCGACAAATATCGCGATAGCCCGATCGCGACCGGCTCGCCGGATTTGAAAAGTACCTTTAAAGTTTTCCAAGTATACGCGAACATTGACGAGGAGGACGCAGGTGGACAGAAGGAGTCCAGCGTTGATATTGAAGACGACTATCCTTTTGCCAAGGAGGATTATCCCACGATGCTGAAAACATGTAGCGACGATTCCGCGAGTCCAAGAAGCTCATCGGGTAGATCGGACAGTACCGCACCCCTCGATACCAGTCTAATGCTCAGGCATAGTAAAAGCCACAAGGACTCGCCGACTTATGACGTACGAAGGATAGACCTCGGGTCTCCTTGTAGATCGGTGGTACCCGACATCAAGGTGGCTCCACTCTTTGGCCGAACCCGAGACGCGACTTCCTTTGACAATCCGGCTTATGGATTAACGGACTTGCAGGATCTTCAGGGGCTACTGCGATCCGACGAAATGTCAGACTTAACCAGACTGATTGATGAACAATCTTCAATTCCAAGAACTCCGCAAGATCAAGATAAAGTCTCGCCTGTCCGTGTCAAGGATCAGCAGATGGACTCTTCCCAAACCGAGCCAGTAAGCAAGTCCAGCAAAAGCCCGACGAAACGTCGTTCAAATGACGAACGAATTAAATTGAAGGCAAAAACCCGCAGTCTCAATATCGAGGAATTGATCCGGGTTGGCTCGACCGACGATCTTCTCGGCATCGAATTAAGCAATCTCTCCTCCTCCTCCTCCTCGTCCCGGCAGCGGACAAAAAAGAAGCGGCATCAACAGATCTCCAGCGGCTATTCCACCCTGAGGAGCGAGGCCTCTGGCGATCTCGAGCATAACGCGGACCGCAGCTTCCTCGTGGTGGGCAGAAAGCCTTACCGCGAGGTAGCCGTCGATTGTCCACCGGATTTCGTGCCGGTCACCAAGTGCCACCCGATATACCCGCCGCCGAATAAGACCCCCGGCAACAGCAAGCACAACACCCTCGAGCCAAAGCGCGATCACGCGAGTGTCATTAACGAGGCGAGTTCGTGCGCTGCGACAACGACGATGACCATGACGACTACCACGCTCGTAGCCTCCCCTCGCCTCTCCTTGAACGATAATAGCTTCACGACGCTGTCTAGTGCCGACAGTAGCGCTAAAGAGACCGTGGTCGCGCGCTCGGTAGACCATAAGCACAGCTTGAAGAAGGTAAGGTCCAAAGTCAAGAGCTTAATATGCAACAGCTTACAGCCTATCCTGCACCACCAGCAACATGGTGATTCGCTTGGCGCTTACAGCACGCAATACCCTAACTCACTAATGCAGACTCATTCTAATGATCCTGTTCTGCAATCGTTCGTCATGAACATTACGAATCCCAACGAGTTCTCGCAAATACGAAGCTCCTTCAACGAACGAGATGAGAATCTCTTTCAAAATCGACAAATCCAGAATTCTTGTTTCGAGGATGATTACCACGACGTGGTTTTCTTACAAGGAAAATTCTTCCGCGTGAGCGGAGAACGTTTATTATCCCCCGTTTTTCCAGAAGAGCTTCCCAAAAATTCGCAAAACCCCTTCCTCGAAGAAGCTGGTAATAATAAAATGACCTCTTTCCCTTTCCCAACTAGCGATTCTATACGCTTGAGTGTCTTTCCTACTTTTGAAAACAAAGTCGTGAACTCTTCTAAAGAAGAACTCCTTGGTTTCGAGAAGGAAACCGAGGAGAATCACTTCTCCGATTGTCCGAACGAGATTAGCTTGATACCGGAGGAAAATATCTCGTTTTTTAAATTCAGAGATAACATTCATGTCCAATCATCTATCCAAGAGACAAATCAGAATTCTCGGAATTCTCTGCGTGAGCTCTCCTTTGCGGAACAACGCGTTGTGAGTCGTTTATTCGACGACACGCGTTATTCTAATAATTGTCAGCCACAAGAAAAGGAGCGACGTGACAGCGCTCACTGTCTCGATGATTCGCCGAGTACACAAAATCAAAAAAATTCAAGGCTATTTTTTAAATACGGTTCCAAATTGGACGTTCCATCTATGCTTCCTAACAATGGCGTGAAATTTCGCGTTAGTTGGAGAAGCATGTCCGACCTTCCAAATTTAATGGCCGATTGGCACTCGACGACGACAAGGACAGCCTTTTCGCTCCCTGACTTAGTTTCAATATCGAAAATCACGTCATCACCTATCGTCGGGTGGGATAAAGTTGACCACCCGACAGTTTCGTACGACGGATTTTCTCATGAACGTATGAAGCAGAACATACCAAAATCACCGATGCACACTATGAAGAACAATTCGCTCAAGTCGCACGTCGACGCTCTCGAACAGCAGGTAAACCACAATGGACTTCGTCTCGAGTTTAGAAACTTTCGCTCGTCGAATAATTCGAACGGCGTCCTTGCACTTTGGAAATTTGCACGCTTTGCAAAGTAACTTCGTGGTTGATTGTCTCTTGAATTACCTGATTAAATTCATCATCATTCTAGTTGTATTTCTCGATGCTAATGGTCGTGATCTGTCTATAAAAGAGATACTCTCGGGACACTATAGAACAGTAATTTCTCTTTGCCTTTTGCACGTGTTATGATCGTGGAAACTGTGTTACAGTCGCGCTCACAACTTTTCAATACTTCCACACCGGCTGCTGTCTGGGAGGCGCAATATGAATTAAATTCTCTTTCATATACCTCAGACATGTATATGGGTCGGAATTATATATAGGACTATAGGATTTGTTGACTATAAAAGCACGTGTCACTCTATTTAATTTAATTTAATTTTATTACATGGTTGGATAAAGACACAAATTTATGGAATATCCTTTAAAGAACAAATTTATGTAATACCTTTATATTTGTGTAATATCTTTTATCTTGATAAGACTATTATTGCAAAGATAAAATGTGCGAAGGCCGCTGTTCAATTAAAGACGCAAAATGAGGAGCATGCGTAGAGGAATGTGGAATATTTAATATGAGATCAACAGCATGGTAAAGTAGCCACAGGCTGCGCAATAAAAATTGTGAAGTAAAATGCTCGTATAACTATAAATTATGTACATATTTTAATTAACATATCGTATTTCGAAATGGCGAACAAAGGAAATAAACAGTTCAAGATTCTAAATAACATAATAATCTTTTAATAAAAAAATTGACATAGATTGAACGATAACTAAAAGTAAATAAGTACAAGTATGTTATCATCTTCGATACGATTATATCGATGAATCACCGAGTCATTCAAGAGTTGGCATTTTACTTCTGCATTTTACTTTCTGCATTTTGCTTTTGATATGCTTTCTTTTAGTGTATCTCGCTCTGTCGTTTTCTTTCTCTCGCTTATCTAGCTTACGTCAACTTCCTCTTTTTCTCTTCCCTCTCGTCCTTCCGCGTGCCGCATGCAAATACGCGATTCTACAAAGCCTCTTCGACTGAAGTATACGAATAGTTTGTGTCTGAAAATAATGATAAAAGAGAAAGGAATGTGAAACGATAAGAATTGGGAAAGGCAAAGTAGTTTGCGCGACGTCAGGCACGTGGGACCACTAATACGAGCTGTTTCGGAATGGATTTTTAGGCCGGTCTCAATGGAGTCAAGCCTGCCATCCCACCTCGCGATCAGAAGAGGGCACCTGCCAGACCGCCGAAAGATAATCTGCGCCTCTCCACGCAGAACAATAATGTTGAGACGAGCGATAACGCCAACGCCGAGCCGACGCAACAGCAGCTTCACTCTATCAGGAAATATCAGGTAAGATATGATGTCGGCACTCTTTTTCGCACTCGGCGTTGTATCGAGTCACGTAAGCACGCATGATAAGCATTCGAAAAGCGCGGACGCTACCAATCCCGTGTCGAATTTTGGAGGACGTGACGGAATGTAAGTATCGGCGTAAAAGAAAAAAAGAAAACAAAAATTATATGTGTACCTAACGTATATTCAAAATTGTTATTGTTAAATTTAATAACACATTTGTTAAGAGAACGAGTCAATACGCAAATTGCCTAAAGCTGGTAAGTGCTACCATATACACAATAATAGACTGCGCGTTTCTATAAAGTTGTCGCACTATCGGTTCAGAAAAAAATGACGTAGCTTGAAGCATAATCGTTCTCTTTCTAAAGTATAGAGTTGAAGAAAAATGGTGATAGAGTTGAAGAAAAAGATTTTACGTTCAATTCTTTTTAACTGAGCAGAAAGAATGAGGTAGCTTGAAGCATATATCGCTCTCTTTTTCTAAAGTATCACGTTGAAGAGAAATGCTGATAATTCTTTTTCACTGAGCACAGAAGTTAAGATCAGGGAATGCGCAATGTTGCAATTTGTATCTGTCACATTACTGCATCTATATGAGTCCTACGAAGCGTTTATTTTATTATTATTAATATTGAAGCCGCGTTTGTTAAAAGAATAAATTTTATGTAATCGATTTCGCTGTACGTAAAAATTACGTCCAACCGTGGTAATTGCCACGAAACGCGTTGGTTTTGCGCTGGATGTAATAAACATTCTCGTAAAAAGGAAGCTTTATGCGCGAGACACGATTTACATATTGAAGAAGGGTTGACCGCGTAATATCGCCGGTCTAGCTCGTAAACCGGCACGTGCGCTTCCTCCGGTGTTTCGTCACAACGATAAAACTGCACCACTTGCTTTCGTCGGAATTTACGATTTTGCCCTGCGATCAGATTAAGTTGTTAATGGAGCGCGTTTCGGGAAAACAGAACATTTTACAGGGAGTTTTTAACCGTGAGAATAACGCAACAGCCGTGGGTAAGCGGTAGATCGCGTTGCGTAACGATGCGAAGGCAGTAAATGACAGATCGTTATTTAAGAGGACGTACTACAACTCGCTACTCACGTGACCACGTTGCGCAGGAAATTGCGATGACAATGGTTATTATCGAGGCACCATTCGTCGCGCGACGTAGTCGCGCCACACAGTTTCCGAATTCCCCGAGCCCAGGTTCAATTGATAAATGAATCGCAGTGCGACCTTGCACAAGCGGAAATTAATTAGACGCATTAACAGAACGTGCGCTAACAAGCGTTAATTATTTGAAAATTATTAAACGAGCGTCGAGATCAACGTGGAAAATTCTTTATTCCATTTATTCTCAATGTGTACTTATGAAACACGCACGTGGCAGTGAAATACTGGCTTGTCCGTTAATAAATGAAATTCGGCGGAAGATAGAGGCGCGGAAGGAATTTCTTTTTGAAATTAAAATACGCGGCGTGAAGATCCATTTGACGGTCCCGCTCGAATAATTTTTCACTTCTGTTGAACTTCGTTTCATCGAGCCGTTAAAAATCGGGGTGGAAACTCTTCGTGGAAAATCGTAGATGAGATCTGGATATGCTTGTGAATCGAGTGCGGCGCGCTTGAAATTCATACAATCTCAGTATCTGTAAGTGTGAGAAATGCCAGAACCCCTTATATACGTGACTGGCGTCGCCGGGGCCGCGCGCGAGTCTCTGTTTATCTTATGGAATCCTCACACCACACTCTTACCTGCCTTAAGTCAAGTGCGGTCTGGAATGTAAAGAACCCCTGCAATAGTCTAAGATTACATGCCTCAAGTGTAGCGTTACGAAGTTTTCGATAGGTGTAGACGTAGGGTGACTCGCAGAGTCTGCTGCATTCAGGGACTTTCTTGGTCCCTTCTTTTTTCTTTCTACGGCTCCTACTTTCCTGACCTCAGTTTCTTGATCTGCCTCAAGCAGACGGAGAACCTATTTCAGACTTTCAATTCGGTTCGCTGCTCTAATATCTTGAGATACGCCGCAGCAGGTGTCCTAAATTCAACACATTTTTCTTTATTTTCCTGTTTTTATGAAAGTTATTAGTTGCAATGTGTCGACCAAATAGCCACCACATCTTACATTCCTTTTCGATTTACATTTTGATATTCCTATTACTGTTTAAGCTACTATTTAAAAATCCTTAATAATTGTGAATGTATAATATACAAAAAACATTGCAATTTCCTCCCTCAATTCAATTTTATGTATTATTCTATTTACAAAATTCCGTAAATTAATTCTTATCAAGATGGAATCACATGTTGGAATTAACAGATTGTAGATACACCGCGTCGCTCAGAGATCGTCCAGACTTACGTAAACAATTGAAAACATTGGTTTTTCTCGGAATTCATTTTGTTGTCATTTTTTTTTTTAAGTTGACACATACATGTTGATGTTGTCTAAGTACACTGTGCAGGAGGGCGAGAGTTCGAGACAGGAAACCTTACGTTCACTATCGAGGTAAATAGGGCTTCACTGAGATATGTTTATCCTCATACGTAGTATCGCGTGGCAAAACGTGGTGCTCGTTATATAAATGAAAATTAAGAGTCGTATGTTTTGCTGCCGGCTACTGCGGCATTGCAGATAAACATTTTTTATCGGGCATGCTATACGCATTGCAATTTCACGACGGTAAAACGCGACGGCTGACTAATGACGACTTTATCAACTGACACCGGTGGGCGTAGATCACGAATCACAAATAGTATCGCCGATAGCATGACAAATTTATGTAATTTGATCGCAAGATGTTACTGACTCATAAAGAAAATAAAAATTTATTGCAAATTAGACTTTGCTAAATATAACGTTGCATATATCGAAAATAATAATAAAAATATAGAATTTTTAAGTATGAATATTCATTTACAAATTCTTGAAAACTTGGGAAGAAAATTCTTTTTTGTAATATTTAAAAAATCTCTCAGTCAACAAATATTTGATATTCTATTTCGTTTAACCTATTTAATTAATTCATACATTCACATAATACAATTATATAAACTTTAGAAAACAAGAGCGATTCAATTTTATAAAATTATTGAGTAACGAGATTTATGCGGAGTAATGAAAAAAAACAGATTTTGTTGAAAATATTTTTATAGATTAAAAACAATAATAAGCAAACATTATTTGTAGATATATAATATAGAATATATGAGAGAGATATGTATATTTTGTGCCAGATTTAGTTGACTAAGAACTGAAAACTTCACATTTCTGGTTATAAGCTATCTGGAAATAATTGATAAATGCATTCGCAAAGAAGTTCAATTGAGTCTTGAATTTAATATCATTCAAGAACTTCTTACTTTTCGCAAGTTGCAACCGCATTGAGTGGTCTTTAAATTTTGCAGCGAATCGTATGTATTTGCGACACTCGTTACATACAGTTGATGTGTACAGCAATTATTTCACAGACTTTTACATAATCAGCATAATTATAATACTTCAATAAGACAAGATTTCCTTAAGACAATCTAACCAGGGTTTGGATTAAAATATTATGTTTTCAAAATATGTTAAATATTATTTTTGTCTAATGCATATATTATAGACTAGATAAATATTACATAAATTACAGAAAGAGAACCGTGATAAGTTTTAGTCCAATAAAAATATTCTCTGTTCTTTTTATATTTAAAAAAAATCTTATTATTTATTATATTTACGATTGCACATCTAAAATACATTTAAGTAAGAATGTATTGTATTTATAATCTTTTAAAAAAAATATGTGAAATATTTTGTGAAGAGATACGTGTCGTACATTTTAATAACTGTCAAATAGAATTTTGATATCTCAATTTTTAGAATAAATACACGTGGAGAGTTCTGTTTTGCTACGAGATTTAAATTTCCATAAACACTTTTATATTTTGTAAAAGAAAATAGCTTACCGGTTATATCGCACTTACAGGAGCAGTTACGAAAACGGAAAGATGAGGAGGAAAGACAGGAAATGCTCAGCCGTTCTCTCCGTGGCTCTAAAAAGCTTCAAGCTTTGGAGAGCCATGCGACGAGCCTCAGTGGCCAGGAAAATCTTGCTTACGCACAGGACGAGGTGACCACCGGCGTCAGTCGAATTACACACGCCACTCCTAATGCAGTCCAAGAAGTGGAGGAGCCGCCCAGGCCTCTCAGTGAGTAATTTTTCTTTTTCAAATATATTCTCGCAGTTCTCTCTAAAAAGAAAATACCAAAAGAAGAAAATGTTAACAGAAAAACAAATAAACTCAATTAAGAAAATTGAATATAATACAGCTTGTACTCTTTATTTATTTTTACATTAATATTTAAGTTTTTTCGATTTTATATTGTTTTATTTAAAGAGAATTTTAGACCTATTCTATCTCATTTGCATTTAATTTCATGAACTTACAAACGCGAGAATGGTATTTAAAGAATTCTGAAAGTTGCTGAAAATTGAATGCTACTAAATATAGTTCCTCGCTCTTCCCTTATAGCCCGCTTGTGTAGCGTAAATAAACAGCGGGTGCGGCGGCACAGGATTCCGCAAGGAAATTTCTAACAAGTATACCTTTCATATTTCAGCGTACGGCGAGGTCGTTGCTACGCTGGAGAGGCTGCAGCTCCAACTGCGAAATATTTCAGGTGCTCTCGGTATTTCGGGTCCAGGTGTCGAAGCCGAGCTCGAGGCAGTCCGAACACTTTTAGTGCAGAATCGATTTGCGTCTGCCCTGGCGACTCGTCATACTTTAAAAAGTCGGCTAAGGGCGAGCAAGATTTTCAAACATCACGCCGATGACGCATCGAGTTTAGCGCGAGATGTATGTAAAATTGATAATTTGATTTATAACATAATAAAAGAGAGGATCTATACTATTATTCACGCTATTCAATACATTTTTGTTTACTAAAAATTCTTGTTTATTAAAAATTTTTTCAATCGTGAAGCTAGGTAATATACAACATTGTGTACGTAATTTAATTAGAATAATGTGGAAAAGCTTATTAAAATTATTTCCTCAAATATTTTAATATAATGTTTTTTTAGTAATTTCTATTTAATTATAAATAGAGGCATTTTTCCATGAATTTTAAATATAAATGTATAACTCAGAAATTATATCCCATGTCATGTATTTTTAATCATTTGTTCAACAAATCTCGTGAAGTACCTTCTTTTTACGTATTAAATATGTTTACTTTTATTATTATTTACTTGTTTCGATTTATGTCATAATTCTAATGCTTTGGCGTTCTGATGTTCCAGTGCGTGGATATCCTTGAAAAATGGCAATCGTCGTCGACCGCAACAGGTGTCGGCGGAGCAGAAACAATAGCCGCCGTGGAAGAGTTAACGAGTATTCTAACAAGTTACGACATGGAAGCTCTGCTTCTGGCGCACGATTCTATCGTCTCCTACGTGGAAGGTTTACAAAGGAAGCAAAGCCCGTCCTCTCCACCCAGTGGCCCGCCCAGTCCGACGTCTAGTTGGAAAGATTCCCGTGTAGTCGACAACATTAAGATTATCCGAATTGAGAAAACTAACGAACCTCTGGGTGCTACCGTCAGAAACGAAGGGGATGCGGTAATCATAGGTAATCATATTTACATGCACAATTGTCATTTCCTCTATCTCTGCTAAAAGTATACCGGTGATTTACTGAATATTTGTCGTATAATCATATCGTTCAATTCTCGGAGAACATTATTTCTAATATTAAAATTAATTCTGTCTTTCAAGGACGTGTCGTTCGCGGTGGTGCGGCAGACAAGTCAGGACTCCTACACGAGGGTGACGAGGTTCTCGAGGTGAACGGAGTAGAAATGCGCGGCAAGACTGTCAACGAGGTTTGTGATATTCTTGCTGGCATGCAAGGTAGTCTTACGTTCTTGGTACTTCCGGCTCCAACGAACCACAGAAATAATTTAAGGAGAGAAGACACGACCCAGGTACGACATATACAGCACATATTCTGATATATTTAGCATATTCTCGTATTAGAAATGTGGACTATCGTATCCGTGGATCTTGAAACTAGAACAACCAATATTACCGGTGGTGGCATTGAAGGTGAAAGGGCAAATGTCAGATAGGGAAAACATTTGTCCTTCAACTTCCAAGATACAAATGACATTGGTCGTTTTACATTTAAACGTCTTTTTACGATTTCGATATCTCTAGTTCAAGAAAATCAATGTTATTTAGTCACTCTGTCGTTCGCTTAATTAAAGTTTGTTCAGTGCATCTACATTGACTGAACCAACGTACGTATAAAAGCGAATGTCATATACATATAAGCATATGACATTTGTTCTTTTATCTTAACGACACGACATTGATACTTGTAAGTTACAGAATGATCTATAGATCGACGCTAATAAGAAACAGCGGTTCTGGCTTTATTGCACGGACATAACGCAGTTATAACATGACATTTGTAACCATAAAGCTTTTACCATTTGCATCTAGATACATATACGAGCGCATTTCGATTACGATCCCGAGGAAGACCCGTACATACCGTGCAGAGAGTTGGGCGTGAGCTTCCAAAAGGGCGATGTACTCCACGTAATTTCCCAAGAGGATCCTAACTGGTGGCAAGCATATCGAGAGGGTGAAGAGGACCAGACACTGGCTGGTCTAATACCTAGCAGAGCGTTTCAACATCAGTGAGTTAATTATAATCGAAGATTATAATCGCGCCACAATACTTGAACACCGCATCCTGTTTAAAACGGTATTCTGTTTTACCTATACAGACGAGAATCCATGAAGCAGACAATAGCCGGCGACAAATCGACGATGCGAGGTTCGAAAAAATCCAGCACGCTATTGTGCGCGAGAAAAAATCCAAAGAAGAAGAAACGAAACAAGTTCGGCGCGAACTTCAATGACGATGGATATCCACTTTACGCGACAACTGCCATAGACGGTATGTAAAGCCTAAATTGGCTGACCTAATGTCAATTACAAATTGTTAAAGACTATTCTTAGACGCAAAATTTTCTCGCAGATTACGACAGCGAGGAAGTGCTGACGTATGAGGAAGTCGCCTTATACTATCCTCGTGCAAATCACAAGAGGCCAATTGTACTCATCGGACCACCCAACATCGGACGGCACGAACTTAGGCAGAGATTGATGCAGGATAGCGAACGTTTTGCTGCAGCGATACCGCGTAAGTGTTATTTTAAAAAATTTAATTTAACTTAATTTATTGTGCTCTTGAAATATACTGAGATGTATATACGTAAGTGTGAGGTAGACGTAAAAGGTAAGGTACCAGCAAAGCTGCTGCTATAAAGCCTACTTGATAAACTTAATTAACTTGAAATTAACATGATTGACTAAGATAATATATTTTGTATAATGAAGCTAGGATTATTATAACCAATTAAACAATTAAATAATTAATCTGCTATGAATATTTACTATTTTATACACGGAAAACCGATTTTGTTAAAGTATCTAAAAATTTAGCTAAATACAGATCTGAAAATTTTTTATAAGAAATACCTCAACTTAAATAAAGCATAAAAATAATCTAAATAATACATCCTATTTTTTCGATTTCTAGATACAAGTCGTCCAAAGAAAGATTCCGAAGTCGATGGGCAGGATTACCATTTTATTTCTCGTGCTCAGTTCGAATCCGATATTCTTTGTCGGAAGTTCGTCGAGCACGGCGAATATGAGAAAGCGTACTATGGCACGTCCGTGGAGGCCATCAGGACAGTGGTTAATTCCGGGAAAATCTGTGTCTTAAACCTGCATCCCCAGAGTCTCAAGATCCTTCGAAATTCGGATCTGAAGCCGTATGTTGTGTTTATCGCGCCTCCAAGCCTCGAGAAGCTTAGGCAGAAGAGGATCAAGAACAACGAAAGCTTCAAAGAGGAAGAATTAAAAGACATAATCGAGAAGGCCCGTGAGATGGAGGATAAGTATGGCCATCTGTTTGATATGCTTATCCTCAACAACGATACGGATCGGGCGTACAACCAGCTTCTCACGGAGATTAATTCACTCGAGAGAGAACCTCAGTGGGTGCCTGCGTCTTGGGTTCAGTAACTTAAGCGGTCTTAATCGCCGCGCTTAAGACGAGCGTTTCTATACGTGTCTCGACGGTGAGGACGGCGATCGGAGGCCAGTATTGCGGTATCTGTTTGCAAGACAAGTGCTTTTACGCAATTTTCCAAGTAAGACTTCAAGCAAGTCTGATAGAAATTCGGAGAACTGGTTCTTCTACAGGTGCCTGTTACATAGTTTTATGTTTCTTACGCAAATCTTAAATCTTCCCCGGTTATTATATTGCAAGTACTACTCGCCTGACAGAGTCTTCCGCGCGTGTTGTCGTACTTTGGTGCCATGAAAATGACGGAGCAATCTTCAAAGGGAGAAAGGGAAGAAGAGAAATAGAAAAGAGAATGAATGTTCTACAAAAAATTTTCACAACCTCTGTGACGAACTACTTCTCGACATAGATTCTTGCATTTGTTAAAGAAGAAAAAAAAATATGATGTTTATATACCACAGTGAAAAACGACAGTTTTCAAGACTTGATTGCATCAATGATGTTTCGAATTTAAGCGAATATGTAATCAAATCGCGGACGATAATCTGACGAAAAACTTAAATTTAAGTTCCGCTTAAATTTCAAACAGAGTTGCTGCAGTTTAGTCGACTTTTGGTATCCCGAGATAATTCTGATTGAAATACGTTCGTACGTCGAAGTTTCAGAGGTATTTACGATTAAATTCTCATGACTGACCCATTCCCCAAGCGATTAATATTATTATATTAGATGCGCGAGTATACAAAAAATATCATCTTTTCGGTGCGCCAAAGCACATCTGCCGAGCGTTTTGCTCTTTCTACATATTAGCCCGTTCTACGTGAGGAAGTGTACCTGACCTGATGTCTCCTAACAGTGAAAAATTTCTAACTTGGGGGACTCGTGAAAATATCGTGTAATTTTCTATGATCTACGCACATACGTTTTGATAAATTTTGATAAGTGGAACCGGAGCTTCGATCCAGATTTTTTAAAAGATTCTTATTCACAGCGTAGCACGTGCGAATATATTAACGTGATTACATTATTAACTCCGCGTAATGTAATTAATTCTTTTTACGTTTATCGCTAATCAGTCATACACACACACACACACACATATATATATATATATATCGAACTTTCGCATACGATCATAGAGAGTCGCACGTTTTTTCACGTGAAATTTTGGTTAGAAATTTTTGGTAGTCCTGTTATTCTAACCAAGCGGAAGTTCTTATTATAAAGGAAGAAAAAAAAAATTCCAAAACGACGATCCCACAAGCATAACGACGCACTTTATGCGTTTCTTCGAACGCAAGAGGAAACGTCTGCGATGTCGAAGAAGGCGAAACTCGCTAACGTTTTATCGTTCGCCCTAGACATTTCGTGTTTGTTTAGAGAGCAGAAACTCGTGTTTCGAACCCGTAGATTCGTTAAACGCAATAGACTTAGGCTCGACTGTGGTTCGGTATACAAGCTTTTGAAAATTTCGCATAAAACAATTGTTTCTCCTGAGTGTTTTTTTACAGGGAGCGATTATTACGCAACGCGATCGAATAGGGTAAAAGATGTTTATCTGTGTCATTGTATCGCTACGAAAATAGGGATCGATGCGAAATAGAAAAGAAAAAAATGTGTAGTAGAGAGAGAGAAAGAAAGGCCATTGTGGTTTTTCATTGGAAATTATTCGGTAAATGCAAGTGCGCGATGTGTATCTTATAAATATTCTTGCGTTAGTAATAATTGTGTATTATATCGGAAAGTAACTTTTCTATATTTTTTTCTTTTCTTCGATGACTTTAAGAGCTCCGGTAAATTCGGCAAAGATGTGTCATTCGTATAGAAATTGTGGGCTACTGTGTCGTGATTAGATCAACTGTGTAATGTTAGTCGATCCAGAGAGAAAAAGATAGATACACTAAATTCAATGTGAAACAGTCGTAAAAATGGACGCGCGACTTAGAGAGATGTGTCTACGGTGAAAAAAATCGTTATTTCAATTTTTAGCTATTTAAAATCGATCTTCTAAGAGCCAATCAATGCATGACGGTTCAATATCGTGCCAAGTATCAGATCGCATGTGAAAGGACGCAAGCAAGATGTGCCAAATAATCCTGGATTATTTCCAGATGATGATCCAAGTTTTAAAATGCGCTCAAGAGGCACCCTAGAATTTGTCATTATATTGATTATGTAAATAATTGTGCACTTATGTATAGAGAGAAAAGGAAGCGAGGAAGAAAAAGATAGAGAAAGAGAGAGAGAGAGAGAGAGAGAGGGGGTGAGAGAGAGAGGAGGGGAAGGATAGTTATTCGAATTCATCATTATTAATTTTTCTAATTATTATTATCCGAATTATTATTATTATTATTATTATTATTATTGCATGTGCTGTTTTGTCGAGTGATCATGGCAGACAAATGTTAACGTATAACCGCCCTGCGTAATGGACGGCACGAATTGTGTATTAAATAAATCTCGGATGCACATTTGTATCAAATCAAGCGAATCCAATTTTTTCAACAGCAATTCTTCACTTGGCAAACCTGTACTAATTACGTCATAATTATGATCATTATACGCATGATTCCGATTACCGTCACGATTATGTAAACAACAACGGTGAAAGTATGTACATTATTATTCTTATAATTATTGTTATTATTATTATTCATATTATTATTAATTATATTAATTCCACGTGTAAAATAAACGTACAATTTCAAAGAGGAGAAATATATGTATGAAGAAGAGAAATATATACGAATATGTATATACATCGTATATACATGCCCACATATATTGCGAGAGCTACAAGATTATCAAACCTCGAATATGTGTCCCGAAAGAGTCTTGATTGTAGATAATATATTGTTTCCATTGTTAACAATACCATCTCTATTCATGTTAATCTTTTCTGTTCGTAAAAAAAAGACATTTGACCATCGATGACAAGGTATTCTCTCGTAGTATTTTCGTACCAAGCCTAACATTCCCGTCTTTAATTTAGTTTAAAATTTTTTCCAATATCAATTGGATATTATTGAAAAAAATGAGTAATATATTAATATTATTATTCGTAAGTTTGCTTTATGAGAAACTTGTTGCAACTTATTTTAGTACAAGATGCATTTTGCAAATGGATTTTGTAATGTTTACACGAATGCCTCTTTTACCAAACAAAATAGCATTTGCAGTTGGCAGTCGGTGATTGACATTGCGGTACCACAGGCACAGAGTGAATAGCAGAGGTCAGCAGAGAAAACAAATCAGTTAACGCTTAGTGATTCTTTAATATGATTGGTTCTTACTCTTAGATCCAGCGAAGAACTAAAGGCGAGAACCAATCATATTAAAGAATCACTAAGCAATAGAACTATAGTTATATTTCCGACCTATTTAACGAGCTCTATATACCACATTTATTATTAGTCGATTCGTATAATCCACGCTATAGGAATGGGAATAACAGAGAGCTAATTATACGCTAATCAATATGAACTCTAAATCCGCATGACATTAGCATCCCCTCTTTGCGATTTAATTAATTCTTTAAATCTCAATAAGAATAGTTTATCATATCATTTGAGACTTGAGAAGCAACTGGATTTTTTCACTTATTTCACTCATTTCACTTACTTTATGAATTTTATTGTTATACTGAAGTAGACGATTGCTGAAATGACGGTTTGGCAGTGGTGCTGCGAGACGGGGTACGACAATACGTGCTCAAATTCGTAAAAAAAAAGCAATGCATTTACATTATTGTACCAAGGCTAAAACTATTTTAATTATAATTATCCAGACAACATGCATGTTAAAAAAATAAGACATAAGATGTAGAAATATCTTAAAGATGTTTTCCCAAAAGATATCTAAAAGACGTCTTATGTCTCGATTTTGGACTTTTTACTATCTATAAAGCACTGACTTCATTAAAAACGATATAATCTTACAACAATCTTTCAGGATATTTTGTCAAGAACTTCCATCGTTATCATCAGCTCCCAGAGCTATCTTTCCATAAGCAAGTGGCTAGATTATAATCTTTTTACGTTTTATTATATGAGTTATTGTCACAAAAAATTTCAACTTTGGTATTATGAAGCTAATTATGTTTTTACACGATTGAAGGTATACCATCATGTTGCGTCCCAATGAAAGGATCGCTGCCAGATTATGATTATATCGTTTTCAATAAAGCAGTAATTAGTAAAAAAAAGTTTTAGTCTTGACATTATAATGTGAGTGCATTGCTTTTTTTTTTACAAATTTGAGCACGTATCGTCTCTCCCCGTCCGCAGCGCCACTGCCAAACCGTCATTCCAGCTATTATATTTCGATATAATAATAAAATTCATAAAGTTTTGATGAAATAAGTGAAAAAATCCAGCTGCCTTTTGAACTAATAGGTGATTTCTGTCCTTCAATCCTTGACACCATTATTGGATCTTATAAGATATCGCGATTTTCCAATTATCACCCTTCACCCTTGAACATTGTCGGCCGCGATTCCGTACGTCGCTTTAACAGGAAACGCCATCAATTCTTGGGGCCGCCGCCGTCGCTGCCGTCGCTGGGGGCGGTGGGTGGTGTGGCCACGCGCATGTTTCTTCTCCGATGGAAATGGATCGATGCTGAAAATAGCTCGGTCCGCAGGAGAGTACGAGGTGAGTCGCCTTCGCTTTCGGCACGGCCTTCGCGTCCCTATCGACGCTTGCC